GTGTTTCTATATGATTTCTATTTTTAAAGATAATTGTTTTTGTGTTTTCTTCACAAATTCTGAGTAGTTTTCTTTATATTTTTCCTTAAAATGATAATTAATTAAGTTTTGGGTGGAAGTTGTGTGAAGTATTGATTTTAAATGTTGGAATAAGTTGTGATGACTTAATTATTGTACTTCATTTACTTCTTAATTTGACTAATTAAGATGTTAATATTTATTTTGTGAACTTGTAAGATCCGTGAATGTATAGTCTAAGTCCATTAATGGTATAATCACATGAGATTTTATAGATAAGAATGTAATTTGTATGATTGAGTGCAAATAAATAGGGAAATAACCTTTGATTGGTGTAGAGTTAGAACACTTTAGAGTACCAGACTAAAGCCCCCAATTTGGTCTATTATTTTAGGTCTTAATACGAGACATTATCTCCCAAGTGGAAGGAGAAGTGGGAAATATAAAGTGAGAGCTAGTATCTTCCCTACCAGCCCATCTTCAAGATTATTCAAACTTTAGATTAACCAATGTTCCTTATAGCATCTCTAGTAAGGGTAAAGAATAATATATCTCCTATTTGGCACAACATAATTTAAATACTTTCACAGCACAATTTAAATACTTTCACAACACATTTTAAATACTTTAACAAAATAATTTCTATACTTGTTACCAATTCATGATAAGAAAAAAATATATTTTATTTGTATGGCTTTCATCTCACAAAAACCAAGTTAAATTTAGTTAGTTGTTTACTTTTTTTTCAATTACCAAAATTACCAAAAAGAATTGAACTTTCATTCCTACCGCAGTATCTATATTTTGAGTAAGACTCCTTTTTAATGTAAAGTTTGATATCTAATTTCTTCTTAAAAGTTTGTAGTTCTCCCTGTGGGTTCGATATTTTGGGGCTTAATCAAGAACTCCTATATTAATTGATAATGATACGTATACTTACGTAGTATCATAATATTTAAAGAATAGTGCACCATGTTTTTGGCATCATTACAAAGAAGGAAATATAAATAAAGAGAATTGAGAATCTAACCACACATACATCGTAGTACTATCGTACCAAATAAGAATTAAATTTTTGGCACCATTGCGAAGGAACTTACATCTAGTTCTTAGCAGTGTAGTCAGAAGCATAATTATATTAAAAGAGGATCAACGTGTTATGTTTTGACAAACCATTGCTTGATATTGCGGTAATTTTCTAACGAAATCCATTCTACTAAAATCTTTGAAAACAGTATCATGCATAGAGTTGGTATGTTCTATTCATCCACCTTCTTTGAAATCACGACTTGATCAACTTTTATTGCCTTATCAGAATGACATATTGCATCAATTATAGAGTTTATCTATTCTTTACCTGGTCCATGTCCTTAGTCAGAGCTACCTATAGATATCTGACATTTGCCCAGGTATGTTCCCCAATATCTGACATTTGTCTCGGCATTTTCTCAAATGAGAATTAGCTTAGCTAGTTCTCATAAAAGATATGAGTTGAGCTTCCCGTAGCGATAACAACATTGTTAGTTCTATGAGATTCATTTAGTGAACATTGCTTTGTTAGTATACCAATACAAATAGGATTTCTTAATGCATTTAGCATGTACTTTGAGCATGATACCTCAAGCTATTTAGCTGTATGGTTGATCATCTGATGCATAGGTAGGATACCTACTTGCTGTCCTATTTGATAGTTTTGACTGGCTTGGTTGGTTCTTTTTGCCCAATCAAATGATATGTTGTGTAAGTTGACTAAATGAACCTTGTATGCATCAAGTTTTCTAATGCCTTCCCCACAAGAATTAGTTTGCTAAATGGGAGGATCTCCAGTGAGAGTCGTCTCGCCAGTGCTTTGGAAGCAGTCTTATGATTAGACCATCTTAGTCATATAACCATGTCTCGATTGCTCTGTTTAGTTATGCCTGCTAAGTTCAGTGACATGTCATATTTTTTTTACCATAGATCTATGTTTTATCAGAGCTTTTTGATGCTCGACTATTCTTTGAGCATGATAACTCGAGCTATTTAGCTATATGATTGCTCACTTGTTATGCGGTCGAGATACATATTTTCTATACCATTTGATGTGCATAGGTGGGATACAAACCTTCTTTTCTTTCAATATTTTCAACTTTTTTGGTTGGTTATGTCCACCATATTGAGTGACATGTTTGAGTGAAATGTTGTATTGGTTTTACTACCAATCAATGTTTTTTCAGAGTATTTAATGTTCAACTACTCTTTGAGCAAGTTTCCTCACGCTCTTTCGCCATATGGTTGTTCATTTGATATGTATAGGCAAGATTTATAACTTTTTTTTCTTATTTGATATTTTATACCAAGAAACATACTTCCTATGTCAATTAATGTGTGAAGTAGGATACATACCTCCTACTCTATTTTAATGTACAGTCAGGATACATACCTAGAAATCCAGTTGCCCACTTCGGAAGGACGTTTAAGAAATTTTAGTTTTGAAAAAGATGAAGTCAAACTGACCCCATAATTTTCATAGTTTAGATGAAAGAGCGCTTTACCTCAAATCCTATATCTATCTTGAAGGATGAACACAAGAGTTGAGGGTGAGGCTCGATCAAATAAACTAAAGAAAGCTATGACAACCGTTTGGTCTATGAAGCCAATGTATTGTCTGACAAGTTCCCTTATTTAATATAAGGAACTAAATAGGGTTTATATTATGTTGGGTTCGAGAAAAGCTTCCTATAAGTGCAAGACCCTATAGATAATTACATCATAGATAACTGAAGTT